ACTTTGGAGGTCTTCTAGTCCAACTCCCTGCTCAAACAGGAGACCCTATACCATATCAAACAAATGGCTGTCCAATCTCTTCTTGAAAACCTTCAGTGATGGAGCACCCTGAACTTCTGAAGGCAAGTCGTTCTACTGATTGATTGTTCTCACTGACAGGAAATTTCTGTTTAAGTCTAGATTGGATCTCTCTTTGATAAGTTTCCATCTGTTGCTTCTTGTCCTGCCTTTAGGTGCTTTGGATAATAGGTTGACTAGAACTCACTGTCTCCTGGTGATTGACCCAAACTCAACCAGTAGTCATTCAACGGGGGACAGGAAATTAGCAGGGTTGGTAAATTAAGATGAAGTTGATCTGATGGCCTGTCATTTTGGGTTTACCACCCCAGATAATTTCCTATCCCCAGTTGAATGACTACTGGGTGAGTTTGGGTCAATCATGGAGACAGTGAGTTCGGGAGAGAGAGGGAGGGAGAGGGAGAGAGAGAGAGAGAGAGAGAGAGAGAGAGAGAGAGAGAGAGAGAGAGAGAGAGAGAGAGAGATGGATTGTAGGAGATGACCAGGCTGAGCCTGAGGGAGGCGTCAAGTTCATCATCAGTCTCAAGTCACTCCATGCCTACAAGATATCTAAGAAAGACAAGCCCACCTTGAATTCCACTGACTCTTACTGCCAATTTGCGGTAAGAGTCAGTGGAAGTCAATGGAAGTCAGTGGAGCATGAACTTGCAATGAACATTTATATCCATTTTAAACCGCCTGGACTTCCTAATGCTTTGGAAAATAGGTTGACACCCGCCCCCCTCTTCTTTGTGGCAGCCCCTCAAATATTGGAACGCTTCACCTTGCAAGGCTGAGAAACATCGAGGTAAGGCAAGGCTGTTTTAAGAAAAAAGTAAGGTTCTACATTTGGGCAAGAAAAATCAAATGTACAGGTATAGTATAGTGGGTACCTTGCTCAATAGTAGCAACTGTGAGAGAGATCTCGGCGTCCTAGTGGACATGATAGCCGTGTTACAATATCTCAGGGGCTGCCCCAAAGAAGAGGCAGTCAAGCTGTTCTCCAGAGTGCCTGAAGGTAGGACAAGAAGCAACGGATGGAAACTGATCAAGGAGAAAAGCAACCTAGAACTAAGGAGAAACTTCCTGACAGTGAGAATAATTAACCAGTGGAACAACCTGCCTCCAGAAGTTGTGGCTGCTCCAACACTGGAGGTTTTTAAGAAGAAACTGGACAGCCATTTGTCTGAAATGGTATAGGGTTTCCTGCCTAAGGACTAGACGGCCTCCAAGGTTCCTTCCAACTTTATTATTATTATTACTATTACTATTATTATTACTATTACTACTACTATTATTATTATTATTATTATTATTATTATTATTATTATTATTATTATTATTATTATTATCATCATCATCATCATCATCATCATTATCTAGGCACTCCTAGGGTTCTAGGTCTATCTACACTCGGTCTTTCTTTGCTAATACCTTTTTAGTCTTTCTGGGCCACGTATGTGCCCATTCTGTTTACAAGTTGCTTCACGTGCCCGGTAAAGAAAGAAATATAATTAGGACCTGAAAAAAAAATTTCTGCTCCCTCTCCTATCTCCCTGCTCCGAGTTGAGAAATAGCTTTAATATTCCTGTGACAGCTTCTCCTGGTTTATGTCTCGTAAATAACTTCAACGCATAAAAGCTTGCATTATTGAATCGGAAGTTGGGATTCATCCTTCAATCTTTTGGGCTTGCAAACGCTGCCTCTCCTTTTTCAGAAGTGTCAAATATTTATGGGAACGTTCATGAAATGCCTTTACGACTCTAACATGTTCTATTGCTCCTGTGTGTAAATATCAGCAAGTTCTCTACTTGGTTTCTCTGCTTACCCCATTAGGCTACTGCGAGAGAGGGAATACCAGCGTCAGTTGGACGTGGTTCTGAATACAAAGTCCAAACAACTAACCTTCTTTTTTTCTATATAACAAGTTTTATTAATTTTCCATTTGTACACAGCTTCATGTATTAAGGAAGCAACATGGTGGTTGGGTAATTCATAGTCCAATAACAAGCTTTTCAATACGTATGTCAATTTACACCATCAAAAATTTCCTCTCTGTTCCCCTTAGTTATTATACCATATTCAAATGGTATACATTGCTAGTTATAACTCAATCATTGAAAACATTTATCAATCACTCTTGACTTATATATATCTCTATATCCTGTTTTTAATTTTCATCTGATTTCAATTACAGTATTCCAGTTGGCTTAATGTCCATAGTATTTAGGTTTCGGATAGCCCACAGTTCCCTTAGTTCATTACAAAATAGTTATCATATCTAAAATACACTTATTATTTATTCAAATAAATTCTTAGTTTATTTCACCATCATATTCTACTTCTCATTCTAATATCATCACTTACTAAGAGCAACAAAGATGATCAGGGGATTGGAGGCTAAAGCATATGAGGAATGGTTGCTGGAATTGGGTATGTCTAGTTTAATGAAGAGAAGGATGAGGGGGGACATGATAGCAGTCTTCCAGTATCTCAGGGGCTGCCCCAAAGAAGAGGGAGTCAAGCTATTCTCCAAAGCACCTGAAGGCAGGACAAGAAGCAACAGGTGGAAACTAATCAAGGAGAGACGCAACCTAGAACTAAGGAGAAACTTCCTGACAGTTAGAACAATTAACCAGTGGAACTACCTGCCTCCAGAAGCGGTGAATGCTCCAACACTGGAAGTTTTTAAGAAGAGACTGGACAGCCATTTGTCTGAAATGGTATAGGGTTTCCTGCCTGAGCAGGGGGTTGGACTCGATGACCTCCAAGTTTCCTTCCAACTTTACTATTATTATTATTATTATTATTATTATTATTATTATTATTATTATTATTATTATTATTATTATTATTATTATTATTATTATTATTATTATTATTATTATTAATAATAAAATAACCTTTGTCCTCTGAATCCATCTTCTATATTATAATTCAAAACAATTATTCTAGTAACTAATTTATTTCCCTTATAACTTTCTACTTGGAATGATGCCCCCCCCCCCCAAAAAAACCCCAATTCCTATAGGATTGCAGCTAGTTTGTTTTCCTTTCCACAGTGGCCAAAGAGATATATTAGCAATAATGGCGAGACCGAGTGCCCAGACTGCAACCCAAAACCCACTTATGTATCATCGGGTGCCGGGTGGGTGTGGTCCATTGGGTGGGCGTGGCTGCAGTGGTAACGCAGACTGGGTGGCACTAAAAAATTCAATCAATCAGTTCCAGCTTTGCGAGATCTTTTTTTTCCTGCGAGAAGTTGAAATTGATTGAAGCTTTTTTTTTTTTTTTTTTTGCACACGGTGGCGGAGGCCTAAAGCGAAAAGGTTTTATAAAACCCAGCTGAAGGCCTAGGACTGGGGCGATGGCACGCGTGCCCACAGAGAGGGCTCTGAGTGCCGCCTCTGGCACCCGTGCCATAGGTTCGCCACCACGGTATTACGGAATCACACTGCACTTGTGAGGCCACACTTGGAATAGAGCATCCAGTTCTGATCACTGTGATTTTTTTAAAAAAGGATGCAGAGGCTCTAGAAAAAGCAAAGAGAAGAGCAACCAGGTTTAGCGGGCGTCTACAAAATAAATCTTTTTTTTTTTTTTTTTTTGCCTTTTGGTACTGCCAACAAAAGTGCGTACAGTCAAGGCCGTGGTTTTCTCAGTTGCAATGTATGGCTGTGAAAGTTGGACCGTAAGAAAGGCTGAGCACCAAAGAATGGAGGCCTTTGAACTATGGTGCTGGAGAAGGCTCCTGCGAGTCCCCTGGACTGCAAGGCGATCCAACCGGTCGGTCCTGGAGGAGATCAACCCCGACTGCTCTTTAGAAGGCCAGATCCTGAAGTTGAAACTCAAGTGCTTTGGCCACCTAATGAGAAGGAAGGACTCCCTGGAGAAGAGCCTGATGCTGGGAAAGATGGAGGGCAAGAGAAGAAGGGGACGACAGAGAATGAGGTGGCTGGATGGAGTCCCTGAAGCAGTAGGCGTGAGCTTAAATGGACTCCAGAAGATGGCAGAGGACAGGAAGGCCTGGAGGAACATTGTCCATGGGGTCGCGAGGGGTCAGACACGACTTCGCAACTAACAACAACAACGAAATAAGTCATATGATGAACAGTTCAGAGAACTAGTTATGTCTAGCCTAACAAAGAGAAAGTTTGAATGTGTGTGTGTGTGACATGATAGCTATGTTCTGGATTTGGGGTTTCACAAAGAAGAGAGGGTCAAGCTCTTCTCCAAAGCACCTGAAGGCAGGACATGAAGTGACGGGTGGAAGATCATCAGAGGGAGATCCAACATGGAAATAAGGAGGATTTTTTTTTGTTGATGGTGAGAACGATTAACCAATGGAACAGCTTGTGTCATGGAGTTTGTGTGCTCTATCACTGGAGGTTTGAAAGCAAAGATTGGACAACCGTTTGCTCCAGGATGATATTATAAGGTTTCCTGCCTTGAGCAGGGGGGTTGGACTAGAAGACCTCCAGGGTCCCTTGCAGGCCTAGGATTCCATGTGTTAGCCTTGCCCTCATATTTTGCCTAACAGCAGCCCATAGTGAACATCTAGTAGGCCAAGTGCTCAGTCAGAAGCTCCCATGAATTCTATAAATGAAAGGTGAGCCAAATCTCTTTCCCACAAGTTCTCCAGGAAAGGCTGTCCTCTCCTTCCCTATCCTCTTGTTTTGTCCCAGGCTTTTTAAAACAAACAAACAAACAAACAAACAAACAAAGACCTTTGATTTGCATCTCTGTTCTGGTTCCCTGCTCTTCCTATGTGCCTACTCTTCTCCTACTTTTTCTCCTTCTTCCTCTCTCCCTTCCTACCTCCATCTTCCCTTCTTCATCCTCTCCTCTCCTCTCCTCTTCTTTCCTTTCCTTTCCTTTCTTTTCCTCTCCTCTCCTCTCCTTTCCTTTCCTTTTTAAACTTCCAGTATCTTCTTTCTTGACAGAGCCTCAAGAAATCTGTGATGAAGACAACCTGGCCTCTGTGAACTGGAAAGAGACTCCAGCAGGAGACGCGGCAGCTGTCCGATGTCCGCGGAACGCCACAGGTAACCCCTGGGGATCAGCCCTCTTCCTGGTTCAAGGTCAACTGGAATGAAGCGGTCGGATTTCAGATTTTTCCTTTTTTAAAAAAATTCAGTCATCCCCATGGACATTCCTGGATGGACCCTGCCTTTGCATTATTTGGAAGGACTTGATAGACCCCAGGGTGATATGGGGGCCATCAACTGGTGGGTAGGACTGTTGTCCCCAGGGAGATGAAAGTTTATTGTACTGGAGTTATATTTCTATAATGTGCCAGGAATCACTAGGAGTGAGTTGGGTGGCCACGTATATTTTCTAAATAGTGATAGATAGATAGATAGATAGATAGATAGATAGATAGATAGATAGATAGATAGATAGATAGATAGATAGATAGATAGATAGATAGATAGATAGATGGGAGAAGGAGGAGGGGGAGGAGGAGGAGGAGGAACAGGTGGTTTTCTTGCAGGCATTTCATGACCCAACTAGGTAACATCATCAGTGCTAGAAGGAAGTGGGGTTTGTGAGGAGGAGGAGGAGGAGGAGAATTGTGGGGTCCTTGGTGCTCTCTGAGCTTGGTGGTTTTCTTGCAAGCATTTCATGACCCAACTAGGTAACATCATCAGTGCTAGAAGGAAGTGGGGTTTGTGAGGAGGAGGAGGAGGAGGAGGAGGAGGAGAAGAAGTTGTTGTTGTTGTTGTTTCACTTCACATCCGAGAAGCTTCATCAGTTGTGANAGGAGGAGGAGGAGGAGGAGAATTGTGGGGTCCTTGGTGCTCTCTGAGCTTGGTTGTTTTCTTGCAGGCATTTCAGGACCCAACTAGGTAACATCATCAGTGCTAGATGGGAGTGGGGTTTTCAAGAGGGAGGAGAAGGAGGAAGAGGGGGCGGCGCTGCCCTTTTTTTCAGGTTAGAGTTTTCACGGTATCTTCTCTCATCAGGGTTGATCCTACGGCGGTGCCTGCTGGATGAAGACGGCATCGCCTATTGGACGCTTCCCACGTATGTCAAGTGTGTCTCCATAGACTACAGGAATATCCAGATGATGGTGAGTGGGACTTGCTTCTTCACTTCTGAACTGAGGAGAACGGCAAAACTGAAGAAGCTCCTTGTATAAGAAGTGAAATGTCTTCATAGAAGTAGGAGAAAAACCAAGGAAGTCCAGTTGTCTTTTTTTTTTTTTTTAAAAAAAAGCACCTTTAGGAGAACCATAACCTGGATGATTGAGAATCTTCAAGGACATTTAGTTGACCCAATTCTTGTCAACTAATATAGTTTTGAATAAGATAAGATAACCTTTATTGTCATTTTTTGACTGTGGGCACAATGGCACACATCAAAATGAAATTTAGTTGCCCGCTCTCAAATTGAAACACATACATGACGCACACCTAAACATACTATGAACAACATATGTATAGACCCACACCCCTACATATACGTAGCAAATAAATATTAAATACTGTCCATCTTGAATATATCATGGAAGGAGGAAGCTTCAGAGTTTGCAAGGTTAATGCTATATGGAATGAAACTATGGCTGAATCTGGATGTTCTGCTTCGGATACCACGAAGCCTCCTCCCAGAAGGTAACAAGGAAAACAGGTCGTGAAGAGGATGTGTAGTGTCCCAGATGATCTTACGGACCCTGTTCAAGCAACGCTTCTGTGCTATGTCCTGGATGGGAGGGAGGCAACTGCCAATGATCTTTCCTGCTGTCCTCACCACCCTCTGCACCGCCTTCCTGTCTGAAGCAGGGATGCTTCCAAACCAGACCGTGATGCTGTATGAAATCTTCTGGGCTTCTCTTGCTTTCTTTACCCAACTAGGTAGCATCATCAGGGAACTGAGGATGTTACTTAATTTACTAATTTACTAATGAAACAAGCCAACACCTAAGCTAGAGATCACCAAGCTCCCTACAGTTGAAACCTGAGTTGCCAATATTCTCTTCCATTGTTTTTTAGTTAACGGCTACAGCAGTGGTGATCTTGGTCAATGTCAAGATCATCTCATTCGTGTCTTCTTCAATCTTCCCACGGGAAATTAGGAATGAAAAACAAACACACACAATACAAACCTTTTAGTCTTCTAGTCCAACCTCTTGTTCAAGCAGGAGACCCTATAGAGCAGACATGTCAAACTCGCGACATCACGTGATGTCACACAACGTATTGGGATGGTTTTGCCGTTGCCGGCAATGGGGTGGGCGCGGCTTCTGGATGACGCGTCCGGCCCGCAGGCCGGCAGTTTGACACCCCTGCTATAGAGTATCATTGCAGACAAATGGTTGTCCAATCTCTTCTTAAAAACCTCCAGTGTTGGAGCACCCACAACTTCTGGAGGCAAACTGTTCCACTGATTAATTGATATGGGATTAGAGAATAACAGAATAACAGAGGTGGAAGGGACCTTGGAGGTCTTCTAGTCCAACCCTCTGTTCAAGCAGGAGACCCTGTACTATGCCAGACAAATGGTTGTCCAATCTCTTCTTAAAAACCTCCAGTGTTGGAAGATCCACAACTTCTGGTAGCAGGTTATTCCACTGATTCATTGTTCTCACTGTCAGGAAATTTCTCCTTAGTTCCAGGTTGCTTCTCTCCTTGATGGGTTTCCATCCATTGCTTCTTGTCCTGCCTTCAGGCGCTTTGGAGAATAGCTTGATTCCCTCTTCTTTGTGGCAGCCCCTCAGATATTGGAACACTGCTACCATATCACCCCTCGTCTTTCTCTTCATTAAAATAGACATAACCAATTTCAGCAACCATTCCTTATATATTTCATCCTCTAGCTCCCTAATCATCTTCGTTGCTCTTTTCTGCACTCTTTCTAGAATCTCAACATCTTTTTTCATCATTCTGAAATCATCAGACTAGCTCACTCAAACTGTAAATCTTATTCATTTCGGTTCCGAGGACTTGTCTGGCCACCTCGAGTGATCCAGAAATCTCGATTTAAAAATAGACAGTCATTTGGGCTTGCAGCACAAGTCAATTTTCTTTTCTAGAAGAATTCCAGAAAGCTGGTTCCTATGGGTGAGCTGTAGATCTTATCTCTCTTAGGAGAAGATTTTAATAACTAGATCAGGGGTAGGCAACCTTGGCCCCTTCATGACTCGTGGACTCCAACTCCCAGAATTCCTGAGCCAGCCATGCTGAGGGGAAAGGGAGAGGTTTCCAAGCTGAGCCATGCTGGCTCGGGAATTCTGGGAGTTGAAGTCCATCAGTCATAAAAGAGCCAAGGTTGCCTACCCCTGACCTAGATTATACAGGGTCTTTGAAACAATTATATTATATTTTGGTTGGTGGGTTGAGATGCTTCTTTAATAGCTCTGTGCGGTGGTGAGAAACATGGTATGGGTTTCTTTTTTTTAAAAAAAGGAAATATCATGAAATAACATCTGTTCTGTTTTTGACTTGCCAGACCAGGGAGCATCTCTCGAAAGCCCAGCGGGGGCTAGTTGGAGAAGGGATCTCAGATGTCTTGCAAAACCTGGTGGAGATCTCTCAGGACGGAACCAGCTACAGTGGGGACCTCTTGTCAACCTTTGATGTACTCAGGAATATGACGGAGATTTTCCGCAGGGCCTATTACAACCCGACTTCGAGCGACGTGCAGGTGAGTTGACAAATAGGAATCCCACAGGTTAGTTAGCATGAGGGTAAAGCTCTAAACGTCATGGTTCCGACAGATGAAACTCTTCAAAGAACTTCGAGGCATTGTTTACCTTAAAGAATCTTTATTTGAATAGCATAGCATCGGCACGTACATAGCCGAAGCCAAAATCAGAATTCCCCTCCCCTGAACACATAGTATCAAAGCACAATTCCCTCCTCTAATTAACGGTCATAAATCACATTCTCCAATTAGTTTGAAATGCAGGCTTTCCCTCCAGCTCTCCAATCCGCCATTTCTTATCATCTCTTATTTCAAACAATCTTGAATCGCACACTACTATGCTCTTGTTATGTCTAACTAATTCCTCTACACATTCTCCCTCCTCCCCCCCCCCCAGTATCATCTAATTCTAACTCTAAGAGTAACACACAAGTTAAGGAAAATGGCTGCATCTCCATAGATTGTCCAAGCAAGAACATCTGATGTTAGCAGCGTTGACACTAAATGCTTCCATTAAAAAAAATAAAATCGAAGAGTTCTGAATTTAGTCTTGATTCCAGAGCAGTGTTCGTCAATCTTGACAACTTGAAAATGTGTGGACTGGCTGGCTGGGGAATTCTGGGAATTGAAGTCCAAGCGTTTTAAAGTTTTGTCCAAGTAGAGAAAGACTTTGGAAAGAGTGATTCCAATGGAGCTCTTTCATAGTTTTTTTCCCCGCGTGCTATGAAGTTGCACGCAAATCTACAGGCACAGAGACAGGCGTGACAGCATAATGCATTCATCATTTTGAGGAAAGCTTTCAATCCTGCGGGTACCTCTGCAAGCAAAGACATCTAGGAAGACGTGGCAACGTTTGATGAGGCTCTAGCTGATCAGCCCTGAAACATCAGCAATCAGCAAGCCTAAACAGGATGGATAACAAGAGATTAGAGCCTCAGTAAACAAATAGCAAAGAGGGGTATCGATTAGGGAATGTGCTTACCCAGGCAGTCAATTCCCGTTAATGCCTTGATCAGTAGATGTTTTGCCGGTATAAACACCCCTGATAGAATCTCATCTTCAGAAAACGATCAGTGACAAATTGACAAGCATGGCAGGAATGGATTTATAAGAGCTTAAGACTTTTTGCACTCTTACAAAATAACCAGGAATTATAGCCATTTTTCTTTAGAATGCTCTGTAGAGTAGAGTAGAGTAGAGTAGAGTAGGGCAGGGTAGAACAAAATGCAGCACAGGATTGCAGTAGTAGAATAGAATAGAATAGAATAGAATAGAATAGAATAGAATAGAATAGAATAGAATAGAACAGAACAGAATAGAATAGAATAGAATAGAATAGAATAGAGTAGGGTAGGGTAGGGTAGGGTAGGGTAGGGTAGGATAGGACAGGACAGGACAGGACAGGACAGGGCAGGGCAGGACAGGAGACAGGACAGGATTACAATAGTAGAATAGAATAGAATAGAATAGAATAGAATAGAATAGAATAGAATAGAATAGAATAGAATAGAATAGAATAGAATTCTGTATTGGCCAAGTGTGGTTGGATACACAAGGAATTTGTCTCCGGTGCAGAAGTTCTTAGTAGACATTCAAGCAACAAAGTAAGATAATCCTAAGGTACCAATAGGAGAGAACACAATAGTAAAGATGAGTAGCGATTCAGTAATTACAGTAGTAATGAGAAGTAATTAAAAAAAGGAGGTAAAGGAGTCCTTGTGGATTTTACTCCACTAGTCATTGCTGACTATAGGGGTGTGCATGTGTGTGCTCATCTCTGTTTCAAGGCCATTGAGCCAGCACTATCCAAAGACATTTCTGCACACATGTGGCCAGCATGACATCATGGAGCACTGTTACAGTCCTACTACATGAGTAAATATCCTTAAACATAAGACAGTGCTGTGGGAATTAGGTGTTCAGCAGAGAGATGGCAAGATGGGAAAAAATGATTTGTGTCTAATTGTTTGGGCATGCCAAATTATAATAATATTATTAATTGTCAATTAATAAATAATTCAATTCATCCTAAGAGTGGAGGGAATTTTTGCCCCCATTCTTGGCAGGTCACTCCATTGCCCCTTCCTCCAAGTAAAATTGAACTGAATCAAATTGAATATTTTATCTGGCCAAGCGTGATTAGACACTCAAGGAATTTGTCTCGGATACTGACGGACTCACGGTACACGCAAAGCATCATCATATCATTATCGTCATCATCATATCCTCACCCCAATAAAAGGGGGAGTAAAGAAGATAATAAGAAGGATAAGTCATATTACTACAGGTGTAGCTACTTGGGTTAATATAGACTTTAGGCAGGACTGAGGGAACTAAGTGTTCCACAGAGTGATGGCAGGAGGGAAAAAACTGTCCCCCTGTCTAGTTGTTTTGACATGCAATGCCCTATAGCACCATCATGAGGGGAGATGTTGAAACAGCTTATGTCCAGGATGTGAGGGGTCTGTAGATATTTTTTTTTTCAGCCCTCCTTCTGGCCCTCAGAATATTTGTTGTTGTTGTTGTTAGTTGCAAAGTCGTGTCCGACCCATCGCGACCCCATGGACAACGTTCCTCCAGGTCTTCCTGTCCTCTACCATCTTCTGGAGTCCCTTGAAGCTCACGCCTCCTGCTTCAGTGACTCCATCCAGCCATCTCATTCTCTGTCGTCCCCTTCTTCTATTGTCCTCCATCTTTCCCAGCATTAGGCTCTTCTCCAGTGAGTCCTTCCTTCTCATTAGGTGGCCAAAGTACTTGAGTTTCAGCTTCAGGATCTGACCTTCTAAAGAGCAGTTGGGGTTGATCTCCTCTAGGACTGACCGGTTGGATCGCCTTGCAGTCCAGGGGACTCACAGGAGTCTTCTCCAGCACCATAGTTCAAAGGCCTCAGTTCTTTTGCGCTCAACTTTTCTTATGGTCCAACTTTCACAGCCATACATTGCAATTGGGAAAACCATGGCCTTGACTATACGTACTTTTGTTGGCAGCGTGACATCTCTGCTTTTTAGTATGCTGTCTAGATTTGCCATAGCTTTCCTCCCCAGGAGCAAGCGTCTTTTAATTTCTTGGCTGCAGTCCCCATCTGTGGTGATCTTGGAGCCCAGGAAGATATATACAGGTCCTCAGAATATGCAGGTCCTCAATGGAAGGCAGGCTGGTTGCAATTCTTCTTTCTGCAAACTTGGCTACCTGTTGGAGTCTGTACCTGTCCTGTTTCATTCCTGTACCAAACCAGACAGTTATGGGAGATGATAGTCATTGGTGGTGATGGTGGTGAAGATGGCGATGCCTTCAACCACTTGGGAATGACTCTTGATGAAGTTTCAGCTCAGCTCTAAAGCCTGGGAGACTGAAATCACTGATGTCCTGGTTTGAAAATGATCTTGGGATGTGCAGTTCTTCATACTTGAGCATTTCAGTAGGATAATCCATCACTCCGGAGGTGAATTTCCAATATCAAATGCTGCCTTGGTATATTTAGACGCTAGTCCACCCAACTTGAAGATGGGTGGACTTCAACTCCCAGAATTCCCCAGCCAGCCATGCTGGCTGGGGAATTCTGGGAGCTGAAGTCCACCTACATTCAAGTTGCCAAAGTTGAGAAATACTGCTGTGCTGCTTCTCAAAACCCATGCTGAATGCATTGTGGGGAAAAAAGACTCATAGAAATGAATTCTTCATACCTTCTTAGAAGTTCATAGAAACGAATTCTTCATACCTTCACCTTTTCTTGGCCTGTCTCCATAATTGCTAGCGTAGATGGAATAGAAGATCAGGTCCACCGATGGACGAATCACTTCTGGTTGAAAACCTTGGCAGACCTGAGAAATGTCCTTGAAATGTCCTCTTCACACAACATCTGTCTCTCAATCCTGGGAGGGTGGGAAAAACCATGACCACATGCCTTAAAAATCTAAAGAGTTGGAGATGGAGATCCTTTCTTCCTGGCTTCTTCCTCATTATCTAATGAATGGCTCTGAAGGAAAGATCTCCTTCTGCTTCTCCACTTGAAGATGGGGAGGGTTAGAATGGAATGATCAAAGGATATGTCAACGACGGTGTGTCAATTTCAGGGAGGAATCCATTGGCTTTCTGATTTTTTTTTCTTCTCAGAACTTCGTCCAGGTAATTAGCAACATCCTGACCGAAGACAACAGAGACAAGTGGGAAGAGGCCCAGCTGGTACGTGAATCTTTCAGCTTCCCATTATAACCTTCTGGAAATTGCTTGGAGGGGAAACCGGCAATTTTCTCGGAGTTTATTATAAGGTAGTCTTGACTTATGACTGTTTGCTTAGTGGTCATAAGTTGAGGACTATCTGCATAATAAGATATAAAACAACATGTGCTTAGCGACTATTGGAAGTTTTGATGGATCTACCTGAGGGGTATTTACAACCCAGATTTGAAGTTCTGTGATTGAGCAATCCCATCATGATCATGTGACCACATTAACAGTTAGGGTCTAAGGGACTAGAACTCACAATCTCCCTATGGTGGGCTCATAATCATCCAGCCAGTTTTCAGATCTAAATCAAGACTAGAACTCCCAGTTTCCTGGTGATTGAACCAAAGTCACGCAGCCAATTTTCATGTCTAAATCAGGACTAGAATTCACAGTCTCCTAGTGTTTGGCCCAAAGTCCCCCAGACAGTTTTCATGTCTAAATCAGGACTAGAACTCACCATCTCCTGGTGACTGGCCCAAAGTCCCCCAGCCAGCTTTCATGCCTAAGGTGAAACTAGAACTCACAGTCCCTTGGTGACTGGCCCAAAGTCCCCCAGCCAGTTTTCATGTCTAAATCAGGACTAGAACTCACAGTCTCCTAGTGACTGGCCCAAAGTCAACCAGTCATCTTTCATGCCTAAGGTGGGACTAGAACTCACAGTCTCCTGGTGACTGGTCCAAAGTCAACCAGCCAGCTTTCATGCCTAAAGTGGGACTAGAACTCACAGTCTCCTAGTGATTGGCCCAAAGTCCCCCAGCCATCTTTCATTCCTAAGGTGGGACTAGAACTTACAGTCTCCTGGTGATTGACCCAAAGTCATGCAGCCAGTTTTCATGTCTAAAATGGGACTAGAACTCACCGTCTCCTGGTGATTGGTCCAAAGTCAACCAGCCAGCTTTCATGCCTAAAGTGGGACTTGAACTCACAGTCTCCTAGTGATTGGCCCAAAGTCAACCAGCCATCTTTCATGCCTAAGGCGGGACTAGAACTTACAGTCTCCTGGTGATCGACCCAAAGTCCCCCAGCCATCTTTCATGCCTAAGGTGGGACTAGAACTCACAGTCTCCTAGTGATTGACCCAAAGTCATGCAGCCAGCTTTCATGCCTAATGTGGAACTAGAAGTCAACATCTCCTGGTTTCTGTGCTAGGACTTTCCTCACTACATCGAACTGGCTTTGTGCTGCAAAGAGACACTGAGAAATTTTTAAAAAAAAATAATATAAAAGCTAAGCTTTTGTGCAAAAAATGTTTGCTCGGCTTCCTTTCGGATGTAAGAGGAGAAAAAAGCAACAACCCAGACATAAAAAAAAAAATAGTGCTGCCTTTTGAAAAAGCCAAACGTGTAGACAAGAAGACAAAGGGAGGCTCGGAAGCTTAGTTCAATATTATCAAAGGTACCTTGATGGCACAGCGACAAATCTCTTTTAGCAGGTTTTTCAAACAAAACGCTGCAACGCCGAGATGCGGGAAGCAAGGAAGAAGCTGTCTAATCCCTTTTTTTTTTTTAAGGAAACGTTTTTGTCTGGCCCACGGTGGCATTTTTCCGCGCGCATCGTCCCAGAGGGGCTCTAGGGCAAAGACGTGGGGATCAGCCAAGATAAAATCCTCAACTGAGTTAACAGAACATGTTAACAGCAGTTCAGTGTGGTGGAGCTGAGTGGGAAACGGGTCAATTCCATATCTGCAAAGGTGCTTTTTTCACCAGGCAACTGGACTTCCTTTGTTTTTTTTTTAGAAGACATTTCACTTCTCATCCAAGAAGCTAATAATAATAATAATAATAATAATAATAATAATAATAATAATAATAATAATAATAATAATAATAATAATAATTGGAAGATCTGCAAGAAATATCATTTGCCTGTAAGCAAAAACTGGTGGGATCATAAAATAGAGAAAGTCATAGAAAATGATTAAGTTAAACTGCTCTGGGACTTCAGAATTCAAACAGACAAGCACCTGCAACATAACACCCCGGACTTAATTGTCAATAAGAAAGACAAAAAAGTCTGGATAGTGGACGTGGCAGTGCCTGGAGACAGCAGAATAGACAAGAAAGAACTGGAGAAGATAACAAAATACAAAGACCTACAAATAGAAATAGAAAGACTGTGTCAAGAGCAAGCAAGGGTAGTACCAATAGTAATAGGCGCCTTGGGTGCAATCCCAAATAATAATAATAATAATAATAATAATTTAATTTCTATACCGCCCTTCTCCCGCAGGACTCAGGGCGGTGCACAGCATATTAAAACAGATACACATATCAATAAAAATAAAAACCCCTCTAAAACCAAATTAAAAACCAAATATTAGAAGCTGTGTTCCAATTAAAATTATACTTAAAATCGTCCCTAAATAAAATCCT